TTTCCCCTTTCTTATCAAAACTATTAGGTCACACATGCTCCTTGCAAGTTACTGCCTTTTCTGTTGTTAGCCCAGCAATAGAAATACCGAGTTTGTGCAGCTTCCCATCAGTATTGGCAACCACTGCTCTAGTGCACTGAAGTGCTGATGACTATTATGCATACAAATGATCGTCTATTTTCCAAATGCGTGGTCAGGTTGTTGCAGCTTTGGGGGGAATGAATCACTTGAAGGAATTTGTATCTAACGTGACTGGATATATGTACTTGGATTATCTGAAAAATATTTCCTCAAAGCAAACAAACAAACAAAAAATTCTAATTACAGAAAAAGGTATGGTCAGCCTTTTTCCCAAACGGGAGTTTTCAAAAATGACTGTGAAAGTAAAACTGGTTAAAAGGTTTAAACTTGAATTGCATGTCATTTTAGAACAAAATTCTTACTAAGTGTTTATAGCAAATTTCTAGTGTTGCCCTTAGCTCCTTTTGCTGTGGTTTGGACATCAGGATGAAAACAAAGCGGCCCCCCCCCCAGACAAGGCCTGTCTTTTCATGGGCCCTTTGCGTTCCCATGTTGGCTGGTGTGGTTCTCTGTGACCTTCTGGGATCTTGCTCCCGCGCACTGCAGGGATGAACTGGGAGGGACAGAGTCTTCTAACGATTGATGTGAAGGATCGACCTGACTCCTCCTATAGGCGACAAATATTAACTTGGGCACACCTCAGCTTATAGTATAGTATTTCTACTAAATACTTTATTAGTATATTAAGTACTAAATACATTATATTTAAAGAAGTTGGTTCGCAAATAGTATTTTCATTTTCCTTTATAAACATATAAATGCCAGAAATACCAAGGATGTAATCTTACTCTCCAGCTGAAATCTAGGAGCTTTACCAAGCGGTAAATCTTACAGGAAAACCGGATTCTCTTGTTTTCATTATCTCCTTCAATTTCCTTGTGCTTTAAATAGTCAGGAGCAGAAGTGCATTTGATTATCAAGAAAATACTTGTTTGCTTTTTTGGATTCATCAACCTCCAGATGGAAGAGGAGAAAGGAGAGAAACTGAAAATCTGTAACGATGCGGAGTGCGTATGCTTCAGAGCAAACTGTAAGTCAGTATGGACAGTCTGGGAAGGAAACGTAGAAGCAGGGACAGTATACGACAAAAGCTAGAATGAATTCAGCATTGTTGAGCAATGGGGGGACTAGCAAAAGATTATCTACAACTCTGAAAAATGTTGTGATTTTCTAGACTGGGTAGAAGCTTCCAGCTTTACCACTGCGTGCGGCAAAACTCTTCAATTTGAAAAGCTTTAAGCAACCACCTTTTCAATTCTTGGTTTGTTATTTTGTGTCTTAATTCTTCCCCAGCATCCCTTCCCCTCCTGGGGCAGCTGCCTACCTGCCTGGCCCCGTGGGCGCAGTCCTCTCGCTGGCGTGTGCTGCCTGCTCTGCCCTGAGCCCGCTGCGGGAAGCCCAGCGAGCACCTGCAAGATCTGTAATGCTGCTGGGCTCTTCTCCGCTTGCTATCGGCCCAAAAGTAGCGGCCTCTGGGGGTGTAATCCAGCACAGCCATGCTTGCGGGTTGGTTTTGGAGTCCGGCCTGTGAATAGGTTTCATAACTAATGGCTGCATCAATATTCTAGATCAAAATATGAAAGGACTTTTAGCCAGTGATTCTAAAATTGCTTGTTAACTAATACAGGATAAGAGGTTTTTAATATTGATCCCTCTTCTGCAGTGCCACCAGCTGTAGTTTTCATCTTTTGTTTGAGCAGATTTCAAATGATTTCTTTTTTGTGTCTGTATGTGCATGTTTTCATGCATATAAAAGATTTTTGGTCATAGAGACAGATTTATTGAGAGCCATTCTGGACAGGTAGTATGTTTTCAACTCCTGTGTATAGATTTGTTAGATTTGGGGGGTGGGGTGTTGGTATTGAGGATTTTTTTTTTCTTTTTCAGAAAACATAAAGAACTTTTAAAATGTTGAATAAAATATAATGGCATAAAAATCCTTTTGTTCATGTAAATTATGCAAGAGGTATGTCGCAAGGCATCTTTATGTTCTGTTAAAAATATTCCTTTCCCATGCGCCTGCATTGAAGCATCAGTTATAGGCCTAAAGTGCTATCCAATATGCTGGGGTGCAGAGAACCATGTGTCCGTATGCTGTCGCTGTGAGGTAAAGGCATTGCAATCTTGCATGACTTAAGTAGGGCTGCTCTTTCTGCTGCCTCCAGGAAATCTCAGCAATGGGCAGCGTAGAAAGTAGCATCCCCTTTCTGCTGCACTGATGTTTAGCACTCGAATGCAATGTGACAGCTACAAGCTTTAGGGGATAAAATTTTATAGTATAAAAAAATACCTGTATAATATTACATATATACATAACCTCGATGTCCATAATCAGGTAGTCCCAGTTGACTGCGATGATATTTTTACTTTCTCCCATTGCTGTAGTAGGCAGGTCTCTGCCTTTTGGGAGTCGAGAAGAGTTCTCTCTCTTTGTAGTTTACCGTCTTGAGTTGAGTCCATGTTTGTATGTGTTGCCTCTGTACTTCGGGAAGGAGCATTTTAATGAATTGTGTTTGCCAATGTAATAAAATCCTCCTGTTGGGGAAATGGCCTGGCAGCTGGCTTCGGTGGTGTATCAGAGACCAGGTTTGTGCTGTCGTGTGGACACGGTCCAGTGTTTTCTGCCCTCGAGTATCGTGCAGACCCAGGACCACCTCCTGGCTGGCAAACGTGCAGAAACAACCGCCAGCATGATGGGAAGAAAACATGAGGAAATACCATAACTAGAGTCTTAAACCTAGTAAGACCCTATTTAGAGGCATGCAGAAGGAATTTGCGTTACCAGCAAAAGGAGAAAATCTCATGTGAACATTTTGGGTTTCTAGTTTTCTAAAAGGATCCAGATGAAAGGTTGCGCAGTGCATTTTCAAGGCCTTCAGGCAATTACTTAGATATCAGAGTAAAGCTTATAATTGGGGTATGGGGAGGATGAAAGGACAGAGTTAGGAACAAATTCAATTTATAACATGAAATGATTGCATAATAATCCTTTTGCATGAAATTAAATAGTAATAAATGTAGTCAAGCCATGCATTATCTGTATATCCATGCTTTTAATTGTAATGTCATTTTTCTGTTGCTACATATTTACCAGTTCCCTTGCTGAGGATGAGTTTTGAATAACTAATTGTGTTTATATAGCTTTCTATAAGAAGATGCAAATTTGTCATCTGATGTTTGTAACTTGCCAGAAGGATCCTTTTCCTTTAGGGAATATTTTACTTTGATTCCTAATCATATCAAAACCATTGCAAACAGCTAAGCACAAGGTGTCCTTGGAAAATCAGATTTTTAAATAAGTTTTACCCCACAAAGCCAGGCAACGTGAAGAGAAGTTTTTTTTAAAAAATGGCAGTGGTTTTCAGCACTAAAGCCTGATCTTGTTAAGTCTCTTAGCAAAACTCATATCGGTATTTTGGGAAACTGTTTTGGACTCCAGTCTTAAACTCTGCTTCTCTTTTTGGGAAGTTAGGAGCTCTGTAACCCTTCATATGATGGTTGAGTGGATACAGAGAATGAGAACTATCTCATGCATAAAAGTCGGCCCTGTCAAAACACATGCATACCCATGGAGAAAAATGCCTTAAACTTCGAGTTGTTGTTGCCCCTCCTGTAAAACTGGACAAGCCAGGTGTCTGTTAATTGGGTTTCTGTACCAGCACTAAGCAGAATTATTTTTCGATAAAAATCATCGTTGTTGATACTGAGCTGAACTGCTAGGTGAGATCTAGACACTTGTTTCTCAAAACTGATCTACACTAAATGTACAAAAATCCTTTTTGTGGAAGTGAAATTGAACTTGTCACGAGTAATCAGGCAATCACTTCCCTGCCCTGTACGCTCAAGCGGAGGGGCTGCGCGCTCTACATAGCCCTCTGCTCCAGAAATGGACTTCACTGCATCTTTGCTGAGCATAAAGCATTTTGTAGAAGACTCTGTTCTGAAGAAGAACTGAAATTGGTTTTCCTCTGATTTCCTCAAACATTTTCAGTCTTAATTTCCAAACACTTGAGCGTGTCAACGGTAAAAACTTATTTTGCAAATGACCATGACGTGATAATGCTGTAGGAGGAAGCTCCCTGCATACGAGAAAAGGCTATCCCTATTAGCTGTGCTCAGTATGCTCTTTAGAATGTTTTTCATGTACTTGCAGCTCTGTGCTGGATTAGTTACACACACACACACACACACCCTTACCTACTAATATGTAAGTTCAGATAGCCCTCAAAGTTCAACTTAGAAACTTTATTGTTTTGAATGAGAACTAAAGCTGGCAGCCCAGCTTCTGAAATCTATGAGTGGACTATGCTAAAGTCTGCTTATTTAAATGCTTTTCTCAGGAGATGAAAATCAGTAAAGATGTTTGGTTTGGAGGGTGGGAACTGGCTAGTATGTTTTAACAAGATGGAGCTTTACAATTTATTTTAAGTTGTGGTTTGATATAATCTTAAGTGATTGCCTTGGACTTGATCGGCATCGGCTACGAGTGCCAGAAGAAAGAACATGTTGGCTTGGTTGAATTCAGGGGGCTGTGAAGATTGAGGGAGCTTATTAAGAGATTTCCATTTTGACTGTGATCATCTCACTGTATGGACAGTCCTACTGTTTATAGGGACTCCAAGAACATCAGTTTTAAATAGAAGAAAGATTTACTTTGCATTAGTCATGGTGGTTCTTCAGATGCTACACAGCAGTGCATCGTGCATCCAGACTGAATGGAAAAAGCCCAAGTTAATATGTCACACTGCTCAATGTACATTAGACAAGTAGATCTTGGGTGCATAGTGTTAGGTTGAATTACAGCAGGGACTTACTCAGCACGGTTGCTTTCTGCTCATGCTTTCTGCTAATGTCATTAAACACCATTTGGTCTTAGCTGGGTGCATCTGGATTAACGTCAATACATTCTCTTGTTATAGGAGCAGCTTACTGCCAGTTCATGGACATGTTGTTCCCAGGCTGCATTAGCTTGAAGAAAGTAAAGTTTCAAGCAAAGCTGGAGCATGAGTACATTCACAACTTCAAACTTCTGCAAGCATCATTTAAAAGAATGAATGTGGATAAGGTAGGCATTCTGTATTTGTATTTCAATCACTACAAGTTTCAAAAGTTGTATGAACTGGGTGAAGTCAATAAATAGGGGAAATAAACTTTGGAATACTTAGTCTGCTTTTTCAACTTTAGTGCTGAGAACTGGAGTTACAAGTTGTATGTGAAGGTTCTTCTTGACCTGTTATTAACTGAAAAGGGTATTTAGGCACGAAGGAAGAAATTTGGCATGTTCCATTTAGGTACAAAGTGAAAATTGAGTCCATCTGTCCGCTGAGGAATTGTGCAGCTTAACTCATTGTATCTTAATATCAGAGACCCTTTTGATAAAAAAAACATATGTTGGAAATTCCTTACCATCAGTGAACCTTAATTTTAGATATAGTAAAATTACTGGTGACCTGAATTTCCAACCAAATAACTTAGAAATATGCTGTTCTTATAAGTATTCCGTGTTTCTTGTCCAAAATGGGGTTTAAGGAATTTAAACTATTCAAGAGCTGGAATAATTCATCCAATTATTTGATAGTTGGCCACCACATGTGATCTTGTAAAGTTAAGAATGGCGGGCTCTTAGAAAATGGCTTGTTCAGCCATAAGGTATTGGTTTATGTTTGAATGTGTGAGTTTGATGGACTCACCAATATAAATTACTGTGTTGATAAAAATGAGTAATGAAAGTTATGTTGTCACACTTTTTTGTTTTACACAGATGTACTACTTGTATATCCTTTTAAGGTTCTGCTCTGGCTTTTAGTGTTGCCTTATTCTGAAATTTAAACAGTCTTCTAGAGTGTCCTGTAAGACTTTTTTTAAAGCAGTGGAAACCCCTTTTTATTTCCTGAAATGTTCTATTTACAGTGTAAATTGTTGGTGAAACATTGGAAAGCCTAATAAACTTAACGTTGTCAATTTTTCTGTAGGGAGCAAACTTGCTATACTTTCTCAATGCAGAATTAAGATACGAAAGGAACAAGCTGGAAGGACATGCAAAATGCTACATTAATCCTTGTAGGAATATCATAAACTTATAAAATGCTGCACAGTTGGCTTAACCTTGAAGAAGAAATGAAAATTGCAATAGTTTTAGGTACCCTATTTCCAACTGAAAATTGAATGCATTCTGGAGGCATTAAGATCCATTTAACTTGGCTCTTCAATCAGCTGCATGAATTAAGCAAAGCAGGGCAGCCCTCCTTCTGCAGCATTCCCTTCGTAGTCCCTGTCTGCCCACAGCGTCTGGGAAGCTTGAGCCTCCTGCAGAGTAATGCTGAACCACCTCCTTACACTGTAATATTGGCCCAAGGCACCTTTTGGAGGCTTCATTTCTGTGAAAAAATTTGCAGGGTGTGGATATGGAGACATTCCCATCGCCTGCCTTTGTTTTACTAGAACTTTATAGGCATTTTAGTCAACTTCTGTGTGTCCACAAACTGTTCTATGTATAGCTGTATATGGAATGGAAAAAAATGACAAGGTTAAAACCTCAGGGTTAGTTCATGTGATGAACGTGTACTACCAAAATGTAAGTTGGTTTGAACTTCAGCGTGTCTTGGAAAAGCTGCTGCATTTTTTGTAGTTCAAACAGTAGGAAAGAGAGCAAGAAACTCCTATCTGGACCTTTTGAAGAATTGTTCATTTTTAGTATGCCCGACTGAGCGTGTCCATTAAAAACAGAAATCCCTAGTTAGTTGAATGTAGTGTTACTCCCAGAACAGCTTCATTCATCATGGCTGTTGCTGCAATAAAAAAGGAGTAACTCTGTGGAACAGCAGTTATAAAGGCTTACATACACCCACTATACAGCCACTTCAAAGGCTGGGTCTTCATTTTATTTCAGTTTTATTTCTTAAGAGCTCTTCCAAATCTACCATAATTTCCTTTCTTTTAGGAAGAAAACAATGGCAGAGCAATATATGCCAATATAGTTAGCAGATTTTTTTTTCTTTCAGAGAAGCATGTATATGTAATTTGTATATTTAAAAATAACAATTATATATTACTGGAACCTTTATTCTACCTTTCAGGTAATTCCCGTGGAAAAACTGGTCAAAGGGCGCTTCCAAGACAACTTAGATTTCATTCAATGGTTTAAGAAGTTCTTTGATGCTAACTATGATGGGAAGGAGTATGATCCCGTGGAAGCTCGACAAGGCCAAGACGCTCTAAAAAAAGATCCTGGTGAACAAATCTTCAACCTGCCCAAAAAGTCTCACCACGCAAACTCTCCGACTGCAGGTATTTTGCTTCTTCAAGAATTCCATTTCTATCTCTGAAGATGATTATAAACTGTGATCCATTTTACATAAATACCAGTTGAAAATTATTTCCTTGTCTGGGTGGGCCATTCTTTTTGCCTTGTCATAGGCTTAGCATCTGAGATGGCAGCAGTTAACTTCTTGTGGTGCGCTCTAGTTTGGCCCAGCCCTATCAGGTGTAGGGTCTCCCCCACTGAACCCTTGATGTAAATGATGTGGATTCTAGTGATGCCTGATTGTGGAGACAAAGGCATTTAACCTTCTTCTCGATTAATGTGATGTGTGTAAGTGTATTCAAGAACACTAAATGAAGTGTGTTTCTCTCTCACACTTCCACCCTTACAGGAAATCGCTAGCACAGGCTGATTTCTATTTTATTAATTTTTATGGTGAGTGAAATGCTTCTAAATCTTAAGGACTGACCAGAAGGACAAAACGAATGGTGGTTTTAGATGTGCTTATTGTTCAGGTCCACTAGTCCTCTTAAGTGAGCAACATAAAACTATTGCTCTTTCCCAAAGATACCTCTGTCTTCTAACTTTTTATTTTGTGTTTATACTGGGTTTTGCTGGCATAGAGTTAATTTTCTTCATAGGAGATTGTATGGTGCTATGTTTTGGATTTGTGCTGAAAACAGTGCTGACAACAGGGATGTTTTCGTTGTTGCTGAACAGTGCTTGCACAGCGTCGAAGCCTTTCTTGTTTCTCAGACTGCCTTGCTAGTGAGGTAGGCTGGGGATGCACGAGAAGGTGGGAGGGGACACAGCTGGGACAGCTGACCCCAAAGGAATATTCCATACCATATGACATCATGCTTAGCATATAAAGCTGGGAGAAGAAGAAGGAAGGGGGGGACACATTCAGAGTGATGGCATTTGTCTTCCCAAGTAGCTGTTATGTGTGATGGAGCCCTGCTTTCCTGGAGATGGCCGAACACCTGCCTGCCCATGGGAAGTAGTGAATGAATTCCTCGGTTTGCTTTGTTTGCGTGCGTGGCTTTTGCTTTACCTATTAAACCATCCTTATCGAAACCCACGAGTTTTCTCACTTTTGCCCTTCTGATACTCTCCCCCATCCCACCGGGGAGGAGAGAGTGAGGGGCTGCTTGGGGCTCAGTTGCCAGCTGGGGCTAAACCACAACAGTGTTTCTGGAACAGGCCAAAGGACTAAGTCTGATCTTTGATGTTTATGTAATATGGGCACGACTGGTCACTAAGCAGATGCCATTTTTGGATAGCTGAGAGTTAAGTGAATAAGGGAGCAGCTAACATTTTTAAAAAAATAATCGCTGAAAGAGAAAAAGGGGTTGGTTACCTATACATATATAGGTTTGTGCATACAGAAACACACATGCTCACACACTTAATTCCTTTATTTTTCTGTCCTGGGTTTGCTTTATTCATACTAACCCAGTCCTCAAATAATGATTTTCAGTTGGCTTAATTCTGCGACCTGTCTTCTCATGGGCTCAGATATGCACCAGTGCTGGCAAAGGGAAGGGGCAGGTATGAGGCACCCTCTGTTTTAGGCTGGCATACGCTCTGGATTCATACCCAGATTTCAGTGTTCTGCTCTGATCACTTCTGACGTCAAAGTGGGGCATACTTGGCCAGCTGCCTTCAGCTCATTAGTGCTTCCAGGAAATTGAGCACCTAATAGCAGGCCAGTGCTGCTCTGGACTTTTAAAGCTTGTTTACATCTCTGTTTTACACCGTCCTGTGTCTAAACTTTTGAAATTCAGGGCCCTGGTATGCTATAATTTCCCATGTGATGTCTTGCACTTCCTTTGAAAACAAAAATACCCAAGTGCTAATGTCATGGTGTTATCCAATTGAGAAATTGAAAAAGACAATTTTATTAAATACAGACTTTACCCTGCTTGTTAATTCTTCTTGCAGATGGTCCGTTTATACCAAAGTCACAAACGTGTCATCCAAATTAAAGTTGTGGAGGTGACAATCCTAGAGAAATAGAATAGCTACTGGAGTGGAACCAGCCAGCTAATACGGAGGGTAACGGGGTGATCTGGTGTCGTGTTGCTGGTTGTATGATGCGTGTGTCCCGTGCCTCCTCAGCCCTTGTATGGAATAGGATAACTGAGGTATAATATAATGATCTTTGGTAAGATTCTGTGGCTGTGGAAGTTAGCTTTTTCATGGAAAGCTTCCTTCGTTATTAAGGAACAACTTAAATATTGTCCAGAAGTATGACAGACAGGACACTAGTTTAATTTTTGTTGAGCTGGGGGCGGGTAGGAGGGTGGTGTGTAGACATTACATGATGCTAGGTGAAATGAGAGGTGCAGCTTGCATTGCTGCCTGCATTTTAGAACAGAACTATTTCATTTAGGTGTCAGTCATTCTTAGATTTATTCAGCTTCTGGGTGAGCACATTTTTATTTCCCTGATGTATTGTGCCTTTGTGCCTCACCTCCCCACATTGTGTAACCTGATTGCTTGAAGGATGGGAGCCCTTACTGGGTGCCTCTTGTTAGAGGACACTCTGGGAGGAGCGCCGTAAGCATCTGCAAGCTTGTGCATGCCTCATCTCCTGCTGTTTGGGAGTAAATTGGGATGATGTGGAAGCAAGTAGTTGGGAAATAACCATGAAAGATGGGCTTCTGTACCTCTGTCGTGTGTGTGTCTGTGCATGCTCATGCACACTTAACTGGAGGAGTATTCATTACAGTTGTTACAGGAACCATAATGTGAGTAAAACAAGCTTAGCCATTTGTACTAAGAAGGCAAAAAAGATAAGGTCTCATGAGTTCTCCTGTGGCAGGTTAAGAATTCCCCACCCCATCTGGACTTTCGTCTTCCTTGATGATACAAGCACAAAGAGGGAATACATGGCCATGAGTAAGTGCAGCATCAGGTGGCATAGTTTAAACTGCTATCTATAAATTTTATGTTGATTATTTTGTTATTCTATGTTCTTGGATCTTCAGTGAAATGGCTGAGGTTTTGGGCATGGTTTTATTTCCACTGACTTTGTTGTGGGAGCAGTAAACATTGTGGGCTGCTTGATGCAATAACCTTTTATGCCAGTGCAGTAGGCATTTGCCAGCATCTGTAGCAGTTTGCCACAGTAGCTTCTCTCTTTTTTGTACATTTTCTTCTTTTTTTTTAATGTCACTTTTAATTTGTGTGATTTGCTCTCCACTGAAGCTTTGAAATTTTAGTATTGTCTTGTTTCAGTTCATTAATGAAACAAAAAGAAGCAACAGTGAGAGAAAATAAAGAACCCAGAAGATCTTTGAACATAATCCAAAAGTTTTTAAACAGTGTGCAGTGAACATACATAAATGTATGCACTTATTGTTTAGTATCAGGAGCAAGTAGATATGTGGGTACTCATTCACTATATTTTTGGTTTTGACAGACCTTTAAATATGCCTGTTCAAATTAATCAAATATATAAATTTCTAAAGGAACAATTTATTTGGCTATTACTAATGTCATATGTGTTTCAGATGATTCCTGTTTTTCCATGGACTAACTCTTCCAGTGCCTTTTGCCAGAATTTTGTTTTTGAGTGATTTAAGAGGTGCTGATCTCTTTAATTATTCATAACCACTTTATAACACTCTGTTCTAACTCTGTATTTTCAGAGGCAGTCTAAGATATGCCTTTCAATTAACAAGAAAGGGGTCAAATCCCTAAAGCCTGCTCTGAAAGCTTACCCAAAAAGGTAGTTGCCATGAGTTAGAATTATTTTTGGTATTTTAATCTGATGCTAAAGCTTGACAAGATCTGTAGTCTCGGGTAGCTGCTTTCCGTACCTATACATGGGTATTTACCTATATCTCTGCAAATGCAGAGTGTGCCCTTTATTTCATTTTTTAAAAATGCTTTTAAAACCAACCAAAATGAGAAATCTGAAAATGCACCAGGTTTTGTGTTCATCGTGGAGCAGTCCAACAGCCACGGCCCTACCCCTTCCAAAGGCGATCCGACTGAGGAGTCAGCCAGGTCAGGGATAATGCAGCTCGGAAATGGAAGCATAAATAGGTCCCTACAACTAATCTGCTGTGCCACCCTCGCGTTGCCTCGTCCCCTCCTGGAGAGACAGAGCCGATTTGTTGCCGAGCTGACGGCGGTACAGAGGATGGGTGGCTTCGGTAGCCCCTGTAAAAGGCTGCTTCTAGGAATAGTAGGAACAGCAAGGATTTGCCAGGTAAATGCAGCTCCCTGCTGGGGGAACGAGTATGTTTTCATCCTTCAAGGAGCGGAGCCAGCCGCGCAGCCCACCGCTGCAGGCTCTCTGCCAACGGCACTACAGCTGCTTTTAGATATAACGCCATCTGCCAGCCCTGAGCCGCCTCTCCATCTCCTGCAGCCTCCGCTCTTCGCTAACGCAGCCCTAAACAGCCTGCAGATGTAGAGTCGAAATTATGGTAAGGGATTAAAATATTAGGGCACTGCTGTTTGTGCCAGTTCTGATGCTCCCTGTGGAAAATAACAGAAAAAGCTTCATCTGATCAAATTGAAAATGGTGATCAGGTTGTCAGGATTTTAGCTTAGTGTCTTACTTAAGTATTCCTGTGTGTCAGAGCAAATCTCCATGGAGCACTGCTTCGTGTATGGGCGTGGGGTGTCAAAAATACACGGGTAAAAGACACCTTAATAAAATTAGTTGTTTACATGTAAGCTAAAAATGTGAGAGATTCTTAGATCCGAAGGCTGTTTGAAATACTCAGTGAGAGCAGGATGACTAAAGCAGAGCTGGAAAATACTGGAGGATCACATGAGGGCTAAAAATACTCACGCTATGACAGGGAAAATAACCAGGGCAGAATAAACTGTTTGTGTGCGGATGCTTTATATATAATGTGTGTGCCGTCGAAGAGCCAATTATGCAAGAAAAATACTGATTTTCTTTAGGGAAACAGTATATCCTACTGTGGCAGATGTGCTATAAATTAATTTTGAGGGATAAAAATACTCAGCAAAACCAGTCTTTGTTTTAGCAGCTAGTGAT